CTCCCATCTATAGCTTTCACCAGTGATCTTATTAAAAGTTCTCATTTTTTTCTTCCTCCATTACTTTCTCTAGTTCTTCCCTCTTTTTTATCACTCTTTGCTCTATCTCTTTCCTTATGTTATTTTTAATGTAGGAGTTCCATCTCAGCTATTTCCTTCAAAAGCCCACTGATCTTCTCTCGTCTTTCCCTTTTTTTCTTTGCCCCAATCGCAGTAAGGATTCCTCTTACATATGCTTTATGTGCCTCCCACACTGTCGCTAGTGATACATCCTCTGTTTCATTTTCCTCAAAGAACCTCTCTATCTCCTCCCTGATCTTCCGGTCAGTATCTGGATCCGTGAGGAGTGTCTCATTCAACTTCCATGATAGGCCACCTGACATTTTCCCCTCCCCATTTTAATTCCATTACTACAGGTGCATGGTCCGAGATAGTTATTGCTTCAATTTCTACTTTAACCAAATCCTCAACAAGTCGGTGGTCCACCAAAATATAGTCCAATCTAGAGTATGTCCTATGTACACTAGAGAAGAAAGTATAATCTCTCTCTCTATGTGGACAATTCTCCAGCTATCCACCAGTTGGCACTCTTTCATCACCGTTTTCAATAATCCCATGGACCTATTTCCCCTTCTCTGTACTCCAGATGTTGTATCTATTTGTGGATCCATACATATGTTAATGTCACCCGCCACTATTAGATATCCCTTTCCAAAGTCCATCAACCTTCTCATAACCCCTTTCAAAAACGTCTCTGGCTTCCTATTAGGGCAATATATGTTTACAAGCGTACATTCTATGTCATGTAATTTACCCTTCAAAAAAAAAAACCTCCCCTCCGGGTCCGTCTTTCTATCTTCCAATTCAAACCTGATGTTTTTTGCAAATCCTATAGCTACTCCCTTAGCTCTCTTAACTGGGAATCTGCGTAATACCATGTAGGATGTTGTCTAGAGTATAGCTTAATATTTTTTTTTAACTCTAGATGTGTTTCCTGCAAAAAAACAACCGAGGCCTCTCTATGTTGTAGTTCTCTATATAGTTGAAATCTTTTACCCGGGCAATTTAATCCATTTACATTATGGGTTACAAAGCGTATTTCCTCCATGTTTTTATTTGTCTTCTTCCTATTTTACCATTTCCTTTCCTCTTTCCCTTCCCTATACCTCTTCTCTCGTACAAGATGTCAGTTTTTTAAGACTCCCTATCCCCAATCCCACCCCTCCCCTCTCCCAGCCCTCCTCCCCCCCCTCCATCCCCCCTCCCCTCCCTCCCCCCCTCCCTCCCCCATTATAAACCCCTCCCCCCCGGTAGGCTTTTTATTTGCCTATAAATCATTTGTGGAAAGAATCCCACTTTTGATTCCTATCTGGGGGCTCAGCTCCATCCATGTACCGCTCATCTCCCCCCCCTCCTCCACGGTGTCCCTCTATCTATTTGCTCTCTGTTTTCTCTTCTAACTAGCTGCCATTCCTCTTTTCCCAACATATATAACGCTCTCTCCTCCTCTTCCCATCCCTGTATCTCTATTCTCTGCAGTTCAAATTTATTACAAAAGCCTTTCATATCTTCAGGGGATCTCAAAAAAGCTGTAACTCCATCTTTCTTTCCAACCGATCAAACATGCTGATCGACCCCATCTATATTGCACATTCTGTTTCTTCAACAATTCCAATAATGGTTTCAATGATCTCTTTCTTCTCAGTGTCTCAGCTGCTATGTCTGCAAAAATTTGAATACTTTTCCCTCCATAATTGATGTTCGTTCTTCCTTTAATCTTCTTCCATATCTCATCCTTATCTCTATAATTATGGAACCGAACGATTGTATCTCTTGATTTTTCTGGGCCTTGTTCTTGTTGAAACTTTCCTATCCTGTACACTCCATCCAGTTTGTACATTTCCGCACCAGATCTATCCATTATGGCGTTCAAAATTTTTCCTATAATCTCCTTTAGGTCTTCCCCCTGTTGCAGCTCTGGGACTCCTCTTATTCTAATGTTGTTTCTCCTGTCCCTATTTTCTTGATCCTCCATCATATAAAGCAGTCTTTTTTGTTCCTTCTGAGTATCTATTATCAGTTTTTCTAATTTTGGGATGATTTGGGTGTGGGATTTAACTGTTTCCTCCGTTTCTTCCACTCTAGTTAACAACTGTCCCATTTCTTTCCGAATTATCCCCATCTCTTGCTTTATGGATTTTTCTAGATTTTGAAACATCTCCGCCATTTCCTTTTTATTTGGTATTTGCAGTTCTTTTTCAGTTTCTCCCAACTCCATACTTTCCAGTGTTTGTTGGCTATTGTTAACTGGTCCCAGGGAAGATCTTAAGCTATTATCAAGGCTTATTTCCAGTTCACTCCTATCACTTATTTCCTGGGATTTTACTGGAGTTAACTTCCCTTGCGACGTGTATTTTTTTATCGTTCCCGTTTGGGAGTTCTTGGGCATACTTCCTTTACTATTTTTCCCTTTCATATCACATATAGGATTTTTAGAGCTTTTCCAAGATTCTGGGGTATATACTTAAACTGTCACTGCTTTCTTCAGACCCTCTCTGGGAATTCCCTTCTTATTCTTTATGTTGGATGTCAGATAGTCAATAACACAAGTTGAATAACTAACACTTGGGTAGACCCGCAGCTTTCACTCACCCTCCTCTATGGAGCAGCTTCTAGATTGCAGTCCAGGGTTGCCCTTTCTCCTGCAGCCGTGTCTTCCTCTTCCAGGGAATTCCCTTGGGTCTCTTTTGTCCTCCTCTGCATATACCCCGAGAAATCCCTGGAGACAGCTCTGCAATGGATGTCAGCGCTTCCCCTGTCTCCTAAGACGCCGGCCGGTCTCTTCCTCTCCCAGCTGTACACCTCGGCAGCCCACGTGTTATCGCCACTCCTCCTTGTCGCCCGGCAACCTCACACTCTCTCTCCAGGATCACCGCAGGCAGACTCCATGGGGGAAGACAGACTCAACCCCTCCGCTCTCTGGCCGACAGCCGCATCACCGCCGGGATCTCCCCTCTCACCAGGTCAGTCTCCAGCCGCCCTCCGACTCAGCTAGTCAGTCCCTCGGGACAATTTAGGGAGGATAGGTGGGGGAGGCTATCGGAGAGCTCCTATTCTCCGCTCTCCTGTGCCGCCATGTTCGGGCTCCGCCCCCCTCCCTTCCGAGCCCTTTTAGTGGGACCGGTACGTGTTCCATTGCATTTCCTATAGTTTCTCCAGAATAGGATCCTACATTTTATCTGGGATAATAAACGCCCTAGGGTTTCTAGGGCTACTCTTTTTTTGCACAAGCTACAGGGGGGGCTAGAGGTACCTAACATAGCCAAAATATTATCAAACAGCTCAGATCTCTCAGTTATCTTTACTTCAAGCCTCAGTTAGTGTTTCCCTATGAGTTCTTCTGGAACTTCCCAATGTTACCCTGTTTCCATGTTGACGCTTCTCTTGCTGCATTCTAACCTCTCTCCAGTGGCACTGAGTCCACTTATGCATCATAGTCTGCAAGTCTGGAACTCTGCGTGGTATTCTGGTGGTCTCTTGTCATCTTTCAAACAGCCCTTTCTTTCCACCTGGTCTGGACCAGCCACAGACATTCTCTTGGTGGGTCACTAATGGGTTTTCTCATGTCTCGCATTTTTTTAACCTCTAGGTCCTTTCCCACATGGGCCTCTCTTCAGCAGACTCAATCAGAATTTGTTCACTATCTCCAACTCCAACAATGGGTAAACTCATTATGCAGGACTTCCACTTATCTGTTGCGGAAAATTGCATTTGAACATACCTGCCAACATTACCCAGGCTCTCCAGGTTTTATCTCAGCCCTCTATGCTTCTCTGAATGGTCGCTCCTCCCATACTGCCCTTTCCTATGTAACCCAATGGGAACAGGATCTGGCAGTTGAGGTAGAACAAGTGACTGGAGCAAGATCTGGTCTTGAATGGCTAAATGCTCATTTAACACGGCTACCTTGGAGGTGGCATATAAGGTACTGCTCTATTGGTACTGGGTTCCTGCCCGTATCACCCATGCAAACCCATCCTACAGTGACCGCTGCTTTTGGGGTTGTGGCCAATACTATTGCTAGCCCCTGTGTGGGCTGACCAATTGTCTGCTTATTACTTGTTAAAACCAATAAACATTATTTAAATTAAAAAAAAAAAAACATTTTATTTATTTATGTGTTGCTGTTTGATTGATATCCTCCCAGTTTCTAACATGGTGCAACTGTTTTGCCAGACAGGGAATAAAGGAATCTCTCCAAGATTCAAAATTTAAAAAAAGTTTTAGTTAAAGATACACTTTAGGTAAAACGAAATGCAAGTAACTTGTTCATTACATCACATATTAGTACAGCCCAAGGCTCCATGAACATATTGCAAGTACCATTATGTGCAGCAGTAAGAGCAGACTAGCAGCAAAGGACAGGAATAAGAGAATGTAATTGTTTTCCAAGAAGGCTGAACTAAGTTTCAAGTCAGATTTTAGGCATCCTCTGTAAACGAAATTTAATTTTGACAATATACTCCATAAGAGTTTCTTGATTCAATGTTTTTTTGTTTTTTTTTCAATGAAGGCATGAGGTTGCTTGGGTTACAAAGGCTGTAATAAAATAGCAGCATAAAAGTACATTATTTTAAATCAAGAGTATATTAAATGAGGATATTAGTGAAACCCAAAAGAGTGTCTCTGGAAACACAAAATCAATCATAATTAAGTGATACAACAAAGGGGGTTGGGAACAAGCAGAGACACAGACTCAACATATCACATTTTTCGCTCTATAAGACACACTTTTTTCCCCCCCCAAAATAGGGGGAAATGTCTGTACGTCTTATGGAGAGAATATTAACCAGGCTTCCCCCCGTCGCCTCTGCCATGTTAGATTGTTCCAGAAGCTCCACTGACCCCACCCCATGCAGCCTGTATGATCTAGAGGGAGCTGCTGAAGTAGAAGTTGTAATGTGAGTGGGAGCCCCACCCCCGGACCTCAGAGAGGATGCTGAGCACAGCTGGCCAGGTATGTCCTTCCCCACATAGACTGCCTGTGGACTGTTATACCAAACCCTGAGCTGTTTTTCACAAACTGTACATTTCTAAAAGAACTCTGTTAATCCCCTGTAATATGTCTGCAGTTTCTGGTCATCTCCAGTAGTGTTTCTGCTGTCATCTCCTGTACTATGTCTGTAGTCTCTGGTCATCTCCTGTACTATGTCCGCAGTCTCTGGTCATCTCCTGTACTGTGTCCGCAGTCTCTGGTCATCTCCTGTACTATGTCTGTAGTCTCTGGTCATCTCCTGTACTATGTCTGTAGTCTCTGGTCATCTCCTGTACTATGTCTGTAGTCTCTGGTCATCTCCTGTACTGTGTCCGCAGTCTCTGGTCATCTCCTGTACTATGTCCGCAGTCTCTGGTCATCTCCTGTACTATGTCTGCAGTCTCTGGTCATCCCCTGTACTATGTCCGTAGTCTCTGGTCATCTCCTGTACTATGTCTGCAGTCTCTGGTCATCTCCTGTACTATGTCTGTAGTCTCTGGTCATCTCCTGTACTATGTCTGCAGTCTCTGGTCATCTCCTGTACTATGTCTGTAGTCTCTGGTCATCTCCTGTACTATGTCTGTAGTCTCTGGTCATCTCCTATACTATGTCTGTAGTCTTGGTTCAGAATATTTTTTTTCTTGTTTTCCTCCTCTCTAAAACTTAGATGCGTTTTATGGTCAGGTGCTTCATATGGAGTGAAAAATATGGTACATTATTTAGAAATATAACATAAATACTCCATAAGGTTTAGTTACGTCTGAAGTGATTCAGACCCTACAGCCTTTGTCATTAGGACACCCATTCAGAATTAGTATCCAAAGGGCCTGGTCAAAAAAACAGCTACTTTTTCAGAGCAGAAAAAGGTAGGAATCAGCAACTAAGTTTGTTCAATATTTTTCAATGTACATTGATGATTAAGAAGAAATTGCTTTCATTCTTAACAAAAGTGGAGTTTCATTTTAAAGTGTGCTCAATTCAAACAGCTTGATGTTTTAAGTGGATTGTTGTATAAATTGATATAAAAACAACAAGATCTAGTATTTATTGTGTTTACATACCTTGGAAGTTGTTATAAAATACTTTTCTCTCTTTTTTCTCTCTTGAAAAAAATACACTTTTCCAGCTTTGCCTCTTTGAAAACAATGTATTGCTGAAGGACACTTACAATCTTTATCACAAAGGCCACCATCAAAGCAGTACAGCCACCAGACCCAGTAAAAAAAACCTAACATTCATTACATCACCTTTTCAATGCAACATCTTTAAAAATGCTGCGTCACAGATCTAGTCTAAATAATTATTCTCATACTCAATCACCACTGTTCAGGATTTAAAAAAGCCAAAAAAAAAACCACAACAAAGCTCACTTTCTGGCTGAATAGAGAGCTCTATCTCAAACTCAGCAGAGAAAGTCAGAGAAAGAGACAGAGTTTTATATTGCTGTTAAAGAAAACAAATTGTTAGGACTGATTCACACTGTTGTATTACAATGTTTGCTATGTGTGTTGGTGCACTGTAGACCCATTTATTTTGAATGACAATCCATCACACCTTCCTATCACCCCTGCAGTGGAGTGCACTGCAGTCCATTGCAGGGGTACAGCCCCATGGGTTTTGAGTGCCAAAACTTACCAAGAGGCAGAGTTGAGGCATACAATTCTGCTTCTTAGAAACATCTGAAACCAGGCCCATGTAGTTTTCTTTCTTTTTTTAATAGTTTTTTTTTAAAGCCATTGTAGGCTATTTGGGGTTGGAGTGCTTTCAATAGAGCAGACCTTCTGTTTTTAAGGAAGATTCTTTTGAACCTTTGTGAACTCTATTTAGCTAGAAAAAAAATTAGTGCTAAAACCAAAATACAAACAATAGATTAGTTTAAAGCAGCAGCCTTCAAACTATGACAAATGTTTTTGTGTTATTGTTTTTTTCTTTCGTAATAAAGTTAATTGTATATCTTTATAGGAAGTTTGAACTATAGTGTGTGTTTCTGTATTTTTATTTTTGCTAATCTATAACAAAAGAAAAGAAATTACCCCTGTGCAAGCACTGTGAAATATGTTACAAGTAACTGTGAAATTAACAAATATTTTGTGAATATATATATATATATATATATACTATTATGCTGCTGTTCTACACACTAATAAACAAATATATTAATAAAATGTTTCAGAGCTGCAAAGTAATTACTAATCCTCTTTGATTTCAAAAGAATCAAAAGAATACAAAAATAAATAATAAAGTAAAAAGTTCCATGTTTATTGATTTTAGTCCAAGATTCCAAATCTATATGTTACAGTTATCTTCTGTGAATACCACCTCATGATTCACACACACATTAACACTAGCAGCTCATCTTACATATTATTACAGATTCACACACCATTAACACAATGGTGTGTGAATCATTAACATGATTCACACACCATTAACACTAGCAGTTCATCTTATATATTATTACAGATTGTGACTGTCCCTTTAAGGAAACAACATTCCTTAACACAAAACAAATCTGGAATGACCTCATAGTTCTATTGGATCAATATATTAAAATCCAACAAATTCCAAAAGATAGTACTCAAAACAAAATTATTTTAAAACCATTATAGTGCTTTCTGTAAATCCAATAATGTATTAATAAACAAAGTTGATTGGGGGTATCCTCCTGCGCTTTATATAGATGAAATCCCTATATTAAAAGCTGCTGTCACTCGACTTAAACCAATCATTACATTACATTGAGTTTATATAGCGCCAAAGGGTTTGCTCAGCGCTGTACAATAGAGGGGGGGACAATACATGAAACATTACAGCAACTACGAACAGCACACGAGGGGTAAGAGGGCCCTACTCTTTCGAGCTTACAATCTGGGAGGGAGGGGGTAGTGGTACAGGAGGAAGTGGCTGTGGGGGATGGAGTGGTAGGAGGAATGAAGGAGAGCAGCAGTTAGGTGAGGGTGGGGTAGGCTTCCCTGAAGAGGTGGGTTTTCAGGGAGCGCCTGAAGGTGAGGAGGGAAGGTGACAGTCTGATGGATTGGGGTAGTGAGTTCCAGAGGATGGGGGAGGACCTGGAGAAGTCTTGCAGACGTGCGTGTGAGGAGGAGACCAGGGAGCAAGATAGAAGGAGGTCCTGTGAAGAGCGAAGGGTACGGGTAGGGTGGTACTTGGGAATCAGGTCGGTGAGGTAGTTAGGGGCAGTGTTGTGAATGGCTTTGTAGGTCAGAGTGAGTAGTTTGAATTTGATGCGTTGGGCGATAGGGAGCCAGTGGAGGGAGAGGCAGAGGGGGGTGGCAGAGGTGGAGCGGCTGGTGAGGTGGATGAGTCTGGCAGCTGAGTTCAGGATGGTCTGAAGCGGGGAGAGTTTGCACTGGGGTAGGCCGGTGAGGAGGGAGTTGCAGTAGTCAAGGCGTGAGATAATCAGGGAGTGCACAAGTAGTTTAGCGGTGTCTGGGGTAAGGAAGGTGCGTATTTTGGCGATATTGCGGAGGTGGAGCCTGCATGTGTTTGTCAGTGATTTGACATGAGGTTGGAAGGAGAGGTTAGAGTCCAGAATGACCCCAAGGACTTTGGCTTGCGGGGCGGGATTGATGGTGGTGATGTTAGTAGTGATGGATAGGATGGGGGGGGGGGCGGGCGCGGGCAGGAGGGAAGACGAGAAGCTCGGTTTTGGAGAGGTTGAGTTTGAGGAAATGGAGCGACATCCAGTCAGAGATGTCGTTTAGGAGGTGAGTGATGCGGGCGGAGAAAGTGGAGGTGAGGTGAGGGGTGGAGAGGTAAATTTGAGTGTCATCAGCATAGAGATGGTAGTTGAAGCCGTGGGAGTGTATGAGTTTGCCAAGGGAGGAGGTGTAGATGGAGAAGAGAAGGGGTCCAAGGACAGAGCCCTGGGGGACCCCAACAGAGAGGGGGAGGGAAGGGGAGGTGGCACCATTGTAGGAAACGCTGAAGGAGCGTCGGGATAGGTAAGAGGAGAACCAGGAGAGAGCGGTGTCTCTGACGCCAAGGGAGAATAGTTTATTAAGGAGGAGGGGGTGGTCAACTGTGTCGAAGGCCGCGGAGAGGTCCAGGAGGAGGAGGACAGAGTAGTCGCCTTTGGCTTTGGCGGTAAGTAGGTCGTTGGTGATTTTGAGGAGGGCGGTTTCGGTGGAGTGTAGGGGACGGAAGCCGGACTGTAGTGGATCAAGGAGGTTGTTGTCAGTTAGGTGGGCGCTTAGGCGGTTGTAGACTAAGCGCTCCAGGAGTTTGGAAGTGAGTGGCAGCAGGGAGATGGGTCTGAGGTTGTTTGGGTCAGAGGGGTCCAGGGAGGGCTTTTTGAGTATGGGGGTGATGTGCGCATGCTTTAGGGGGGGAGGGGAATACGCCGGTAGAGAGGGAGAGATTGAAGATGTGGGTGAGGGAGCAGATGAGGGAAGAGGGGGGTGACTGGAGGAGTCGAGAGGGGATAGGGTCTAGGGGGCAGGTAGTGAGGCGGGCTTCAGAGAAGACCCTGGTGACTTCCTCAGTGGTAGCGGGGCTGAAGGAGTGCAGAGCTGGTGGGGTTACGGTAAGCGGGGTCTTGGGTGTGGAGGGGGGCAGTGCGGTTGCGAGGTCAGAGGAGGGAAGAGATGAGGGGGAGATAGGGGGGGGGGAGGCTAGGTGGGGAGGTAGATTGCGAGTTGACTATGTCCTGACGGATAGCATCAATTTTATTGTGGAAATGAGTGGCAATCTCGTGGGCGGTGAGTGAGGTACTGAGTGGAGGAGGGGGGGGAGAGAGCAGGGAGTTGAAGGTGGAGAAGAGTCGGCGAGGGCAGGAGGAGAGGGTGTTAATCAGGTTTACGAAGTAAGCCTGCTTGGCGGCGTGGAGGGAGGAGGTGTAAGTGAGGAAGGCAGATTTGTAGAGGGAGAATGAACGGGGGGACCTGGTTTTGCGCCATAGTCTCTCCAGCGCACGACTGCGACGTTTGAGGCATTTAGTGTGGTCGTTCTGCCATGGTTGGAGCGGTCTGGGTTTGATGTAGCGTGTGGTTAGGGGTGCCAGAGAGTCTAGGGTAGCTGATAGTGAGTCGTTGTACGTGTTAGTGGCTAGGTCAGGACAAGACAGTGGAAGGATTCTGTCGTGTAGGCGGTCGGCAGCTGAGTGGAGGGGGGCGGGTTCAGGTTGCGAAGGTTGCGGCTGGTGATGGTTTGGCGCTCTGGGGGGGGGGAGTTAGGGGGAAGGGGAGATGGAGAACGTGAGGAGGTGGTGGTCGGAGAGAGGGAAGGGGGTGTTAGAGAACTGGTTGAGGGTACAGAGGTGGGAGAAGACGAGGTCCAGGGTGTTCCCAATG